GAAGATAGAAGAGTTTGTTGAATCTGACGTGACATGTTCGTACGAAACCTTCATACGAACAAAAGTAAGAAAAAATTAGGATAAGAATACGAACGGTTCTTGCATGAGGCCCATTGTTTTTTGTGTACAGTGCCCTGAGACGGCGTTCGTTGTGACTTGGTGCCATATAAACAAACTGAACTGAATAGGTAATCTCTTGCATGGTAGCCAGCAATGGATTTTATCTGCTGTCATTGCTGCATTTCCTTTTTCTGTAGCTAACGCACCAAGCAGCTTTGTCAAATCAGTGACATTCAGTGTTCTTTGCTCTGAAAGTGGTGTCAAACACACTTTGGGTAGAACCCTGTGGGTAAAAGTTCTGCTCCCCCCTACCGAGGCACCGCTCTGCTGGCCTACTGTCCTGACTTCCCTCCCCTGAGCGCCTGAAGCTGCTGGATATGAGTAATCAGACTCATTACTGAAGCCTCTGTCCAGCTCCTTTATGTCACTGCATGTAATTAATCTACCTGAGACAACTCATAGTGTGGGTCCCCTAGGGAGGAGAGAGGGGGAGAGGAAAGGGAGCGAGAGGAGAGGAAACAAGAAGGGACGTGGACGCCTTGGAAAAGTAGCGTGGATGTAAATGGAGGACAGCTCAAGAGTAGATAAGGGGGAGTGAGATGTGTATTAAAAAACGAGAAGGGATTAGCGGGGATAGAAGAACGACAGTGACGAGGAAAAGCTGAAGGGGAAAAAAGGTGTGGGATGACCACCACAAGAAGAAAAAAAAAAACAGAACGTGAAGAGGAGAGCACAATGACTGGAGGAAGTAGAGTTTAACTGTGAGGAGATATTGGGGAAGAGAGATGGAGGAAAAAAAGGGGGGAGGCAATGAGAGAGGACATGAGAAGGAGGGCGACAAGAGGAGGAAAAAATAAAAAAAAAAGAAGAGAGAGGGGAGGTGGGGTAAAAAGTACAAGGTGAGCACAAAGCCGTCCCTGGCCTCATTACAGTAACACAGCAGCCTGGCTCAGGTTCATTCGTTATCTGCTCCTGCACTCGTTTATTCTTTTG